TTTTTTTTGCTATAGGGGATCAAACTCAGGCCCTTGTGCTTCTGAGTCAGGTGATGGAAACACTGAGCCAAATCCCAGCAACATGAATTTTTTAAATAGGAAAATAACCATAGGTTCTCCATTCAGAAGTAAAAGGCATATATGTAATAATGATGAACAGTACTTGAAACAAAGATTTGCTACAATTCTATCCAATTATTGAAGTTAAGAGAAAATGAGAAATATATTAGAAAATAAATCCTGCATAATCAATCAGACAAAAGGCTCATTGCATAATATAAAAAAGAAAAAAAAGTCAATAGTTTCACAGACTTTTCTTTGTTTTACCAGCATGGAACCAAATACAAACACCATTAGAAATGGACGAAAGATTGTAAGTGCTTCAGTGAAGTGGAAATACAAACAAATAATTCTGATAAGGGAAAGAGTTTTTTCATTGAAAATGTCTTACCTTAGCTGTGCACGGTGGTTAGTGCCTGTCACCCTTACACTCTGTGAAGCTGAGGCAGAACAATTGCCAGCTGAAGCCCAGCCCATGCAACTTCGTGACTAATCAAGACTCTGTGTCAAAAATTAAAAGAACATTCAGGAGTAGGGAGGGATGTAGCCTAGTGCAAAGGCTCTGGGTTCAATTTGTAGTATTAAAAGAAAAAGCTTCATTTCATTTTTAAATTGTGTGCAGGTTTGAATTTGATAAAACAGGCCCAGATTTCATATCTAACATGAAATCGACAATGTAAAATTCATAAGAAAAACACTGAAATAAATACACTGAAATAGTAGTGATTGTGTCTGGGTAGTGTAACTCCATCCATTTCCTCTGAACCAGGACTTAGTGTATGCAAGCAAGTGCTCTCCAGCTAAACTACATCCTACCCTCCACAGACCTCTTGACTATCTATGCCTTTCATATTTTCAAACATGGTTATGAGGAAAAATGTATGAGTGACAAAGTAAGTGAAGCCATTAAATATATGGAAATAAAGTAAAATAAGATGAGTTTAGAAGTATTGTACCTACCATAAGGCAAGCAATATTTATAAAGTGATCATTATAAGGCTGGCACTGAAGGGAATAAACAAAAATGAATGCTACATCAACCACTCCTTTGAGACACTTAAATTAAATGGAAGAAAATAAACAGTGGAAATAAAAGTTCAATATTAAATTTCATTTTAATGGCAAATAAAAAACCAACTAAAATCTCAGTTGACAGGAAATTTAGAGGTTTAGTATCTCAAATTCAGAATAAAATAAAAGAATAATTCCTTCTCTTCTTCCTGCTCTTACTATCAAGGATAAATACACAGTTGTAAATAGATATGACATAAAATAAGTACTAATATAAAGTCAATGAAGAGATTATGTAATTTGCAAAACGCAGTGTTGAACAGAATTTCTTCTTAAAGGTTCATCTTGCTTCCAGAAGACTGTAATATTGATTATGCCCAAAGCAGGCTGTAAAGAGTTAACCGCACAATTGGCTTGTTCAGAGAAGCGAGTCTGGCCAAGGTCAGAGTAACTCGCACCCAAATTCCATTCCCACAACTAAAACCTTCTGACTAGAAGGACAATATTCTAATTATAACTATATATTTTGTTTGTTTTGTTCCTAATTCAAGAATGTTTGTCTTGTCCTTTATGAGCCTTATTTACATTAATTTACACTCAAAGCTCTCCTTTAACACAATTGATTGCCAGTAAAAGTCAGTGCCTGGGACTGTCCAGGGCCTTTGTTGGTTGTACCAGCATTGGTCATCCTGGTACTCTGCTTTCTCTCCTTGTTCTGTCTCTTAGTGTACTTTTTTCTCAGGCCGGCATCATATACTGGGTGGGTGGGTATTAGAACCTGCCTACAGGGGTCTCTGCCACTTGCTCATTAGATCTGATTACCCTAATTCTGGAGGTAATGGTGGTCTTCCACTGTTCTGTCACATTTACCACGTCCTCCTGTTGGTTTTCAGAAATGAAGTCAAAGAAGGTGCTTCGCTGTTCTGTCTGCCTTCTAACTCATCTGTGAATGAAGCAACATGACAATGAAGAGGCAACACCAGAGCCTTTCCTTCAACTTGCCCTAGCAGCAATATTCTCTACATGTTTTTGTAGGGTTTGCAAAAGTAGGAAACTAATCAAAATCAGTTCATATTCTTAGTTCATATTCCGTTTCTTTCCTCTCTAATTTACCCTTCCACATGCTCCTGCTTATGTGCAATTGCAGTGGCTCTGAAGTAGCTGAGCTGGGAATGCCCAAGTCTGATTCATTTGGTCACATTTGGATCACGGTCTTGTCTCTGCACATTTGATCTCTTCTCAGCTGTCCCAGCGTTGCTGTAGCTTCAGGGTTCCTTTTTCAGCTCTTTGTTTTCGTTCCTTCCTGAGACACAGAGGTGGAAAATAGTGTCACAGAGCTAACAGATTCCCTCTGCAGCAGGCACTGGGAAGATGAGGGCCAGTGGGGAGCAGTTTTAAAATGTAAAGCATGAAGATCTAGGCTGTAGGAAATCCCCCTACATCTTATATCTTGTAAAAGCAGAAAATCTTAGTGCAATTTCCTCCCATAATGAACAAGAGTACAGTTATCTGATACTATGATACTGAGCTATGAAGCTGAAAGAAAATTTTAAAATTTAAAAATAATATAAAACAAATTTTAATAAATTATGAATACTCTTTTAGTCTTTTAAAATCATAATCATTTCAAGTGGCTTTTAAAGGTTGAAGTAAAAAATTGAAAAAAGGGTATGGGCAATTATTTTGCTAAAATATAAATTTTATAACTTTTCTGATATTTGTCTGCTTTTTAAAATTTGCAATTTGTTGCTCCTTAAATATTCTAAATAAATATTCACTTTAACGCCTATTTTTAGTTTTTATTAGTACATAGTTGTAATCCACAATGTTTACATTCCTTGTGGGAAACTGGTACATCTATAATACATCTTAATTCCTTTTTTCATCCCTTTTCCCTTTGTCCCCACCCCTTACACCCATAGCTTTATCTCTTTGCTTTTGGGGCATCATTAAGAAATCAAATAATGACAAATCTTGGAAAGGCTTGAGGAAAAGAAACCTTTCTGCTCTGTTGCTGGGAATTTGAACTGTTACAATCACTATGGAAATGAGTATGGAGAGTCCTAAAAATATCGAAACTAGAAATTCCATTTCACCCAGCTGTTTCCCTTCTAGGTATCTTCCAAATATCATATTACAGTGTCATATGCATAACCATGCTTATTGCAGCACAAAGAATGATAGCTAAATCTTGGAAGTATCCTATATGTCCTTCAACAGATGAATAGATAAAGAAATATGCTATTTATACAACGTGGAATATTACTCTGCCATAGAGATAAACTTGAATTATTTGTAGGAAAAGGAATGCACCTTGAGACCATAATGTTAGGCAAAATAATCAGACACACAAGCTTAAATATCACATTGTTTTTCTTATATGAAAAATTTAAAGTATAAATAAATAATAAAATTAAAGACCGAAAATGGGAAGGAAATAGGGAGATAGATCTTTCTTAAAGGAGAAGAAAATTAAGAGATGGAGGAAGGGGGAGGAGAGGGGAAAGAAAGGGGATGGAAAAGAAATTAAGATATGTATGTGTCTATCTTTGTATTTGTAATTTACTTATTAAAGTTTTCCTAGTTGGTTCATGATTGACGTCTCATAAACCAGGAGCTACCTTGGGTTTTTATTATCATTTTAAAATATCATGCTATGTTTTGTAATTATTATCAAGCAAGCTTATACAGTTGGTCTCAGTGTTGATTACTTTCTTATAAGATTAATAGGATCTATTTTCTTTCCTTCTTAGTTTATGTGCAATAAATTCAGAGTCTCAGTGAAAGAAATTGACAAACACTGAGTTGAAAAATCAAAAGGAATGATAGAATTAGTAAGGAAATACTCTACACAAAAATCCTAGATGGAAAATGCCTTTCGTCCCTAACTTCAAAAGCTGGTTAAAAGAAGAAAAAATTTTCTAAGTAAGTACCACTACACAGACAAATAGAATACAAAAGTAAATCCTGGGAAAAGAGGAAATAAAAGAACAAACATAAAATGATGAATAATCTTCAACTTCTCTAGGTTATTTTGAGAAATATCTTAGAAATTAGAGAATAAATTCAAAGACATCAATTTCTCTCATTTTAATGAAATTATTGGTGACTTCTTTGTTTAAAATGAGAAGACACAAAAAGAGAATTTAGGTAAGAAAAGAAGTTAAAACTGTCTTGAAAGAAATGAAGAGAGTATTATAGTACAAGAGTATCTTAAATTATATATATTAAACAATAAAGGAAATATAACTAAAATATAAACACATTATAAGTAATCCTGAGGAAAGGTGAAATGGAAAGAAAGAATACAACCAAAAAGACAAAGAAATAAAAAACAGGCAATGATTTCAAAAGAATATTCAGTGACTATATATTTTTTATCTCTAAAGCATGGAAAAGAAAGATCTGATGAATAAAAAGTGACAGATTACGTAAAAAAACATATCCTCAGGAATTTGCCAAAATTGGAAGATGAATAAGGAAATTTTCCTGCCTGAAGCAAACATGGTATAAATGTATAAATGCTAATCATGTAAAAATAGTAACATAAGTAACACAAATCAGAATTTGAAGATAAAGACCAAAATGGAGAAATTACATCTGTACTAAACATATCTGAATTTCAAAAAGCACATTTTAGTTTCACTTCAGATGCTTTATTGTTTAAATTCAGAGTAAATTAATATCAGATTTTCCTAAAAATCATGTATAGCATGAAAAAAGTTTTTAAAAGTTAGTTATTGGGGGCCGGGGATTTAACTCAGTGGTTCCGCTGCCTGCCTCACAGGCTGAAGGTCCCAAGTTCAATCCCCAGTACCTCCCCCCCAAAAAAAAGAAGTTATTTTGAGATTTAATCTGTTCATTAAAATTAAAATTCAACTTTAAATTGCAAAGCCTCATATTTTTGTTTTTTATTTTAATTTTTTTAACAGTAGAAAGCATGAATACAGTCCCCCACTACCACAAATTATGTAGTCAAGTTTCCCACATTTGGGGAAATTGCAGGGATAAGCACATCCTGAGTGCACTGGATAAGCCTCACCCTGGGAAAACCACTTTTGTGATCACGGTATTGCCCCTGCCAGGAAAATGTAGAGCCTCATTTCTTTAGGCTTCAAGATTCAACTTTTTAGTGTTCTATTTATAAAATTTACAGTACATTATTATTGTGTGGTGACCCCGCTGTACAATAGATCTCTATTATTGCTCCTATCAAATTGAACCTTTGAGCCCTTGAAACACCACCAGCCTCCCAATATGGGTAACCTGAATGCTAATCTTTACTTCTGTAAGTTTATATTTTAAAATTCTGTGTATAATTGAGATGATGCAGTATTTGTCTCAGGGCCTGGCTTATTTCACTTGGCATAATATCTTTCAGCTAGGTCTATTTTGTCACACATGACTGAATTTCTTTTTTTCTGTCTGCATGGTTTTCCACTGTGTAATGTATCCCATTGTCCTTACCAGTTCAAATGTTGCTAGGCATGTAGATTGACTTCATATCTTGGATATTACAAGTAATGCTACAGTGAATATGAAAGTGCACATATCTATTAAGCATACTATTTTCAATTCCTTTGGACAGAGAATTAAGACTCCTAGATCATATAGTAGTCTAGTTCTATTCTTTTAAGAAGCTTGCATACTGTTCCTTAACAGGCTGTATGTTCCCAGCAGGAGGTACTTTTGCTCTGAGTCATTGTGAGTACAAGTTTGTTTGCCAATGGTCATTATAACTAGGTGAGATGATAACTCACTGTGGTTTGGATCTGTATTTCTCTGACAGTTAGTGATGTTGAGTGTTTTTTCACAAGCTTGTTAGTTTTTTATCTGTATACCTTAGAAGAAATTTGTATTCAGGGCCAGGGATTTGGTTCAGTGGTTTCGCCACCTGCCTCGCAAGCACAGGGGCCTGAGTTCAACCCCCAGTACCAAACAAACAAACAAATAACAGAAAGAAAAAAATGTGTGAATTTGTATTCAAATCTTTCTTCTAATTTCAACTAGGTTTTTTGTGAATTTGCTACTGAATTGTTTGAGTTCCTCCTATATTTTGGATATTAAGCCCTTATCAAATGTATGATTTCTAAATATCTTCTTATGTTTTGGTAGTTTAAAAAAAATTAGTCCTAGGGCAGGTGGTAAAGCTCAGTGGTAGAGCTTTTACCTAGCCTTGCATGCATAAGGCCCTGGTTTGAACCCCAGTGATACCAAAAAAAAAAAAAAAAAAAAAAAAATCATTTCCAATTGACTTTCTATTCTCAAGTTCTTATAAAGAATATCTGAGTTTGAGAATCTCAAATGTTAATGGAATTTATTCCCAGATAGTGAAATTAAATGGTAGATCTTACTTCTTTATTTTGCCTTCATAATTATACAAAACTAATGAAATTATTAATTATTTTTTAAAACAATGAATAATTTTAAAAACAATAAAAGTTAGTCATTTAAGCACCTAATTTGAGTACTTACTTTCTGTAAAAAATATACCTTTCTGCCTGTTAAACCACAAAATAAATTCAGGCAATTATATTTAAGTCCATGTTTTAGTTACATAAAACTACAAAATTATAAAAATATTTATCTATCCGATTTTATACTTACTATTGAAAAAATAACAGGAATAGGAAATACTGATATTGGAACTTAATCATCTAGGTCAAAGTTTAGGATCATTAATGATTTTAACTTCACAATATTTTCAGTTATTTTTCAAGACAAGTACGAATTTCATTTTATTACCATATAATAGGCTAGACAAGCATCACGAAAGTGTACTTCAGAAAAAGAAATAAATTATGTATGAATTGAAAGCAAGGGAGTATTTTTCAAAGAGCCAGAAATTCTCCTACACATAACAGTGTCCATATGATGCCGATGCACACAATACTCCTCTGCACATCTGGTTAATATTTATTCCCTGATTATCACCTCAGGCATCTTCTCTTCTAAAACAGAGATGTTAAACCCCAATGTTAGGCATAGTAATTGTGTCCCTGTCCCACTCTTCACACCTCCGAAAGATCAACTACTTTCATTACATCAGGGGTTATCAGTCAGGTTAGGGTTCTCAAACTGTGGTGCACAGCCAAGAAATGTCAGCATTGCTGTGGAACTTGTTAAAAATGCACGTTCTCAGGATTCACCTCAACAAACTAAATGGCACTATCTGTGAGTGGGGTTCAGCCATCTCCATTTTAACAAATCTTCCTGGTAACAGATCCATAACAGTTTGAGTACACAACTATGCTGCTTTTCCAATGGAAGTCAAAAACAGGAAATCATATCATTCATAGTTTTATCCCTAATTCCTATCTCTTCTCAGCCTTTTGGTTTAAGATCAAGTGTTTTATCCCTGATTCCTAATATGGTGGTTGGCCCACCATGTGTGTTCCTTAAAGGTATATTCTAACAAAAATATAGTAGCAAATAACAGCTAAACCTTATTATATCCTCATTGTTTCAGGTATTATATTAAGAATTTCAGGTGTATTTAATAGGCACAATATTCTGATGTAATTTAGAGTTCCCCCTTGCTGCACATTAATAAATGAGGTGTAGAAATATTAGGAAACTTTTCAAAACTACACAATTAACAAATAACAAACTGCCAGAAGATCTCTATCTAAATTCACAGCCTAGCTCTTAACCATGAAATTACATAGATTTGTATTTTGTAGAAATACTTCGAATAACTACTTGAAATAATTCTTTCTCTATAGAGATTTATATTGGTCTGTACACTTTGCTCGATGTATTGATAAATTTAAGACATTTTGGCCCTAAAAAGAATATTTCATATGCATACTTAAAATTATGTTCATATGAATCACCTTAAATAATCAAATGGATGTGGGCTTGCTAATAGTCATTTTAGAGACATGTCTGAATAAGCTCCTAATACACATTCAGTTCCACTTTTGGAGATTTGTGTATATGCTTAAATCCTCTGGGAATTAGATGAGATATTTTGCATTGGTTATTAATTACTATGGGATAAATGTGAATTCAAATTGGTATCATGACAAAACCAATGTGTCCCTCATCAGCTCTTCTAACACTACTCAAATAAATGAGTGTGTTTTATAAATGGCACTAATTAAAAGTTAAACTGTGATTAGTTTACAATTACAATTTAAAAAATATTTTAAATTATCAAAATTGAAGATGGAGTTTTTCATAATGGTAGCTTTTCATAATGTACACATCAATGTAACATCACTTTGCAGCAATAAAATTAGAACTGGATGCTCATGTCCCTGAAGAGATGTAGTTTTCTTTTATACTGGATTATACTTGTGGCCATGCTAATGCTCAGTTCTACCGAAGCCAAAATTTCTATGAATAAATGTGTCAATTTATTTTCATTTTGAAAATAAATTACCTTCTATTTCTAATTACCTTCTATTTCTTAAAAAGACAAAAATCCCAACAGATTAAACCACTCAAAATATATTGCTAAAATGTCTCAGAGAACAACAAGATTTAGTTGACTAATTCAAATTACCACAAGGCTAATTATCATTTTTATCTTCATTATGTGAGCTGACTACAGCATTTCTTAATTCTATCATTCCTTTTCATGTTCTGGAAAAACATGCAGCCTGCAGGTGCTTTGACTATGGCTCCTGGAATTCTGCCTGATCTTCATCTTTGCAAGTTGACATTGCAGCCAGGAAACGAAATAAATTATGCTGATTCTGAGCTGTGGAAACATTGCTCAGTCTAATAATTGTGTAGCAGTATAAAATGCCTATCAACAGCAGCTTGGCAGCATTGTAACTGAAGGTCAATTTGAAATAAGTTTGATTCCATCACATTACAAAATACTGCTCACAAATAAATTAGTCAATTGGAGAAGAGTGTAGAGAAAGAATTCAAGAAGATGTAAATGTGCACAAAATAAGAAAGAAGAAAGTGACCATAAAAATATATAAAGATTGTTTGTCTTCATTTAACTAATATGTCTTAGCTGAATGCTTAAAAAGGATGAAGACCTCTAACAACCTGTTGCCCCCTTGTTTATAATTAATAGTCACAGTAAGGACTATGGAAATACAGAAAAAAAAAATGAGACGCCTATTGATTTCTACAGCAACATATGGCGATACACTAGCATGAAGAGAAGACACTCTATTCTGATTTTTGGCAGGTTTACTCCGTGGCTTACAGATCACATGTCACAAGCAATGAAGAAAGAACCCAGGATGCGCACTGAATCACTCAAAGAATGAACCTATCAGTCAGCATCTGCTAATTATATACTTAAATTACTACTGTGATTCCTATTTCTCAGAAGAGGAACTAATCTGTAGAGAAACCGCTTTGAATATTGTTGATGGTTCATAGACAATGGGAAAACCTACCTAAGGCAAAACAGCTGAAACTGAGGGCGAACTGATCATGTCTTGATCTGGTTGTTTCAAGAGAGAAAAAAATCAAGGCAGTGAATAAATGAAAATGTTATGGTTCAAAACTCCAAATAACCTCATTTATGTACCTAGTAACCTCTACAGTAATTTTTTCTCTTAAATTGTGTCTCAGATATGATGGAATATAGAATTTTAAAATCTTCCATTCCTGAGCATACTGTCCTCTTTAATGCTTTCCCTGGAGTGTGAGCAGGACTTGTAAACATGCTATTAGTTCCATGATTAGGCTACTAATTAGCTGATTTACAGTTAATGAAAATAGGCATTATCTTAGATAGACCTGACCTACACAATGAGCCCCTTAACAGAAACTATAGTTCCACCTCCTGCTGGCCTTTCAGACACAGCCTTCATGAACTCCACAACTGCACAGAAGTTAATTCTGCCAACAACCATGTGAACTTCTAAGAGAACCCCAGCCCGAGTTGTAACTGTTATCTCTGACTGGTGATTGGAGAACTTGAGCATAAGCCCAGATAACCTGGCTCAAACACCCAATCTATAGAAACTGGGCTGAAACAGGTTTGTGCTATTATAAGTCCCAGGTTTGTAGTTGTTTGTTACACACACACAAATGAAAATTACTAGAGATTAGATGTTTAAAATAAGATCGTCAAAGTTTATTTGTGTGTGTGTGTGTGTATACACACACATACAT